CTGTGCGGACAGTCGACGCCATGAATGAAACAAACGACGCTTAGTGGCTTAAAATGGCAAATTCTGACAAAATCATTTTCACTCCTTTTTTGGCATTCAGATGGCCATTTAGCGGAAACGAACCATGGTTTTATACTCAGTGCTCACGCCCCTATACCATGCAAAAAACCATTTTCAAAAGCGTCCAACGCCCTGAAAGACCTTCCTTGTCAGAGAGGAGATGGTTGGACGTGATCAAGAAGCACCTCGCCGAAGCCAAGGTAGCGGCAGGAGATGCTGTAAATAGAAAGAAGCGTAGACGGCTGAGAAAGACGAGAATATTAGACCTTGCAACGAGATTAACGCTAAGCAGAGGTAGCCGAGTGGATTAGAGTATAGGCTCACGTCTACATTTAGAAAGAATGCGAGTTCGATTCCTGCCGGCAAATCCATGCCTTGCAAGAATTGCAAAAGTGGTGTCGGTACCAGCGTCAGGCTCAAATTGAGAGGCCGACTGATGGATGAATTAAGTCACAACACATATGTCAAAAGTCTAGAAAGCAATCAGATGAAGACAAACAAAGAGAGAAAATTCAAGTGTGTATGGTTGGTGATGTGTGCACAAAGATGGACGAAACGGAAACAAATGCAGCTCTTTGTTCTGAAGCCCTTCAGCAAGGAACAAATCATAGCGGGATTAGTGAAGAAAGGAAGGTTATTCATGGCCGGAAAATTAGCAAGTATGCTCTCAAGCCTTTCACGAATATGGATCTGGAGTAGTAGAGGAGATTAGGGCAACTGTACATGGCTGCTGAAGAGAAGAGGGTACTCTAAGTTGCAATGATAGGTGTGACTTCTGAGTATTACCAGTGAAAGGAATCTGTGGCTTTGAAGATCCTTCATGAAAGTTCGTTGGGTCAAGAAACGGTTCAGGTTGGGTGCAGTGAGAATTCGTCGACGAACACATCGAGAAGCGGAGCTTCAACGCTTCGAGCAACACATCTGCAATCAGCACATACAGTAGCGCTCAAAA